ATTCTGGTTGTATCTCTCCAGAATTAGACCAGATGTTGGAGTTGAAGCTGTATCGGCTATGGTCAAAGCCAATCTCAATGTCGACAGTGATCCTGCTGTGATAAAACTGATTCCAAAAGACAAGGATATCACAACTCTTTCATTTGTGTCCTTCAAAGTTGGTCTTGATCCATCGTTGAAATCTAAGGCTTTGGATCCAGAAACTTGGCCTGAGGGTGTGTTATTCCGGGAGTTTGAAGATTACGGATCCCAAAAATTTCGGGTTCCTTTGAAGTACCGGAAACCAATAACACCGTTGCTGCCAGTTCAAACATCTTCTCCAGCCACTCCTGTAATGGACTTGAGTTAATTTGCTTCATCCCGGGACGCACTAGCTTGAGCATTTCGGAAGCCCCTGATCCCCCCATCACAGTCGAGCCATTCCTGCCAGCGTTCAGCAGTCGTCCTGGTCCTGTATTTGGGTGTGGAGAAGGGGTCTTCCAATCCGCTACTACAGGCAAGTACGCATTCATTAATGAAAATGTTGTACCTGATACGTTCGACGCTTCCAGTCAATCACTTCCCGCTCGTCTCTCATCATCTGGACCAACCGTTCCGGCTCCGGGATGCACGCCTGTAAGCCTCATGGAAGCCCCTGATCCCCTCATCACAGTCGAGCCACTCCTGCCAGCGTTCAGCAGACATCCCGGTCCTGTGTATGAGAATGGAGCAGGGGTCTTCCAAGCCACTACTACAGGCAAGTATGTATTCAATATCGAAAATGATATACCTGATACTTCCGACGTTTCCAGTCAACCACTTCACGATCGTTTTTCACCATCTGTATCAATTGTTCCGGCTCCGGGATGCACGCCTGCCATCCTCATGGAAGCCCCTAATCCCCTCATTACAGTCGAGCCACTTTCAGCAGTCATCCCGGTCCTGTGTATGAGAATGGAGAAGGGGTCTTCCAAACCGTCATCGCAGGCAAGTATACACACATTTGGAATACTTCTCCTCCAGTAATGTCCATCGCTTCTAGCTGCCACACTCCAACCGAAGCTATTGAAATTGTTGAAACATCTCTGACCGAAGCTGTTGCAACAAGCGTCGTTTCACCCAGCATGCCAACATACCATCTAGTGTCGCATCTCGAAGTGCCCATCGCAACGAAGCGTGTTTCAGATCGCATGTTTTCTGTGTACTACCAGAATGTCAGGGGTTTGCGCACAAAAATTGCTCAGCTGCGTTTGCTGTTGTCCAGTTGTGATTATGACGTACTTGTCTTTACGGAAACATGGCTCCGTGCAGATATTGATAGCTGTGAAATCTCGTCTGATTACGTTTTGTTCCGTTGTGATCGCAATGAATTGACCAGTTGCCATTTGCGGGGTGGTGGAGTGCTGATTGCGGTTAAGAACACACTGGAGTGTGAATCTGTTTCGATGGCTAACTGTAATGAACTAGAACAAATCGCAGTTTGCATAAAGTCACAACTTCGTTCGCTTTACGTAGTTGCTATCTATCTCCCACCTAATTCGAGTACCGAGTTATATACTGCTCATGCTAATGCAGTGCAACTTGTTGCAGATCGTCTATCGGAGTTTGACATAATCTTGTCGGTTGGCGATTTCAACCTTCCTAATTTGCGATGGCATCTTGACGAGGACATTAATGGATTCATTCCTTCGAATGTATCTATTGATACTGAGTTGAACTTTACAGAAGCAATGTTTGCCAATGGGTTGAGACAGATTAATAGTTTCGTCAACACAAATGGCAGACTGCTGGACCTTGTTTTTACCAATCTACCGGAATATCTTGACCTGATTGCACCATCTACTCCGCTGTTGCCTATAGATAACCATCACACACCAGTTATTTTACTACTTGACGAGAGTGACGCACCAACACTACTTGACGATCATGATCATTGTTTCAAATTTGACTATTCGGCATGCGACTTTGACTTGTTGAACTCTACTTTTATGGATATTGAGTGGGAACGATTATCGAATAATGGTACGGTAGATCAGATGCTATCAGCTTTTTACGAATCTCTCTCAGAAGTTATCAACCGTCATGTACCTCGAAAAAGACAAAAATCGATATCTGTTTTCAACCAACCGTGGTGGACTCCTGAGCTACGTAACCTTCGTAACAATGTACGTAAGATGCGCAACCGATATTTCCTTACAAAAACTGGGTCTGACAAAGCTAGACTCCGTGAGCTTGAGTTGGAGTACAAAGTCATTCTTTCTGCAACACATGAAAACTATTTGCTCAGTATTCAGTCAACCGTCAAGCAAAATCCTTCACGCTTCTGGGACTTCATCAAGAAACGGAAAGCTGGAAATGGAATCCCTGGCTCAGTCAACTTCGATGGAACTACTTCTCGGTCAAGCTCAGAAGCAGCCAATCTTTTTGCTACTTTCTTCGAGAGCGTGTTTAGTAAAGCATCACCCGTGCAACGTCAAAACTGTTTTGAACAGATACCGTCCCATAACATTAATCTACCGTGTATACAGTTTTCTCCAGACGAAGTACAGAAAGTTCTCGATGAGCTTGATTCAAAGAAAGGACCCGGAACAGACAGCTTGCCTCCTGTGTTTTTGAAGAACTGCGCCGCTACGCTGGCGACGCCCATCGCTGCTGTTTTCAACCGTTCGCTCCAAGACAGAACGTTCCCAAATGCATGGAAAATGGCGTCCATAGTACCGATCCATAAATCCGGAAGCTACAAGTGTGTCACCAATTATCGAGGTGTATCCATACTTTGTAGTCTCAGTAAGGTATTTGAGAAACTGATCCACACCGTTTTGTACAGAGCTGCTGCACCGATCATCTCCAACAGTCAGCACGGCTTTATGAAGCATCGTTCAACAACATCGAACTTAATGTGTTATGTATCAGCGATATTCCGTAGCTTAGAATCGAAGCAACAAGTGGATTCGGTTTATGTTGATTTTGCGAAAGCGTTTGATACAGTACCGCACAATCTCATCGCTGCCAAAATGAACCACATTGGATTTCCGACATGGATCACTGAATGGCTCTATTCATACCTGTCTAATCGCAATGCTTTCGTGATGGTGAATTCCGCACGCTCCAGGACTTTCAACATACCATCTGGCGTGCCATAAGGCAGTGTTCTCGGTCCTCTTATTTTTATCATTTATGTTAATGACCTGTGTGACATGCTCTCATCATCCAAACTTTCTTTTGCCGATGATCTAAAATTTTTCCGTGTGATTGTTTCTCCCACTGACTGTGACGCGTTGCAAGAAGATATACATCGTGTGATAGTCTGGTGCGGTGACAACGGCATGCGCGTAAACAGCAAAAAGTGCAAAATAATATCCTTCACTCGCTGCAACAACGTTATTCACCATCAATATTACATGGGGCCGGATTCTCTAGAACGTGCAATTTCAATCTGTGATCTAGGCATTACGATCGATTCGAAGCTAAGGTTTAACGAACACATAAACATCGTAACTGCTAAAGCATATACCGTGCTTGGTTTTATTCGTCGTCATGCTTCTGGTTTCACCGATGTTTATTGTCTCAAGACGCTATTCTGCTCGCTGGTTCGCAGCATTTTAGAATATGCTTCCCCGGTTTGGTCTCCATTTTACGTTACGCATATCCTTGCGGTTGAAAGGGTTCAGAAAAGTTTTATAAGGTTTGCATTGCGTCAGCTCCCCTGGAATGATCCAGTCAATCTTCCAAGTTATCCCGACCGATGCAAGCTGATTGATTTGGAATCCCTCTCTGCCAGGCGTCTCAAATTGCAACGACTGTTTATCTTTGACCTCATAACAGGAAACGTGGACTGTCCTGAACTTCTGGAACTGATTCCATGGAATACTCCTCCTCGACGATTCCGTAATTCCCCGTTTCACAGAACGAACTTTGGATTCAATAATTGTTTTAATTCTTGTTTGCGTTCCTTTAATGATGTTTGTAGCGAGTTTGATTTTATTTTGACCAAACATGTGTTTAGTGCTAGAATAAGACGTTTAGATTAAATTAGGTTTTAAGTAATGAGTAATAAGTCGAAGATGGTGATCAAATAAATAAATAAATAAATATGTTTAGTATCACTTCTGCGTGAAGTCAACGATTTACATTGTTGAAAATGCTAATTTCAAATAAAAGACTGAAGTGGTTCCGTTTAGGGTACGGCAGTGTGAAAATTGCATATAGAGAGTAGAAAGCGAGCTATAGACATCTTTTAGGAAGGTACAAATCAGTTTTATCATCTCTCTTTACCAAGCTCCCCCTTTGGAGAGGGATGCCCCCTCGGCACCACTGGCAAAAAGAGATGATCACCGACGATGTGTTTGAAACAGAGTTTTCGATAAAAGTTGTAGTTAATCATAAAACCTTAAAAAACTTCATAAATCATTTAACGGAATTCTGTTGATGAAAAAAAATAGAGGCAAATGAATGTAAATGAATGCACGAAATTAATATAAATGATTTACCATGCCTGCCCTGGACTACACAGATAAAAATTTTGAATTTTAATTGTGATGTAAACATTCATTCACGTAGACTTGTATTTCATTTCACGCAACCGAGCAACTTGCAAACAATGTTGTTTACAAAGATGGGCTTTTGTAAACAATATTTGCTACATTGCATGAAATCTCGCGTCACTTTTCATAAGGTCCTAAGTAACAAATGTAAACAAATCGAGTTAATTGGTCCAAGCTATCACTCCTTAATCAATGTATGTAATGCAAAAACACCTATCCAGATAACCATCATTTAAGTAATAAAATCAGTAATCAACAAAAAGTCCAATGTACAGATTTGAATTTTGAGCGTTTGACTGCTACTTCAGACGTTTCAATCGTCTGACGTCTGAAGTGCCAAAATCTTCAAAACAATGAAAATCTGTACTTCGGTTGATTTGTTAGTGCGCTTTGTTTCGGATGTTTTCTGCGTTTTTCTGTAAAATTTGCCAGCCACTTATTAAAAATAACCTTTTTTAATGGAGGTGCACGCATTCGATGTGTTGCTTGGTAAGTATTTTTGTTAATTTTGTTGAAAAATGTTTTATTCAAAATGGTTATTCTTGTAGCCGCAGCAGATGCTTTGGAACAGAAAAAAGAAGAAAAAGAAGCCCACAAAAGTCGGAGCTACTTGTCGACTCCACGCCGTTCGCACGGCTGTGCTCTGGGACCCGGAGCTGATGTTGATGACCGAAATCATAAGCTATCATCCGATTCAGAACGGGAGCAAGTGTTCGATGAAAATCAAAACCATTTAACCTCTAGCTGGAGGATTTTGCACGGTGGTGGTCTGAAAACCAGGGCTAATACAGATCCTCGAAAAGATTACAGTCGCGTCGGTTTGAAAGAAATAACAAATCATCTTTCGATCGGTGATTTTAGAAGACGTGAAACTTCTCGAAGACACACTAATGGTAAGTCATTCAAAACTATACATTCTAGATTTATATAAGCAGTGTCGGTTTTTTTTCTTTATTACTGTGATTTTTAGCCGTAGACTAGTTCATCACGTCGGTGCCGGTGGTGTAGTGGTAAGCGTGATTACCTCTCACCCCAGAAGGCCTGGGTTCAATCCCAGTCGGCGCCGCCGGGATGTTCTGATGCATAACATCTCTGATCACGAAGGGAAGTTTTTTTTTTTTAGACTTTATTTGAGAGATTTTTAGCCTTAGGCTAGTTCATCTATCGGAAGGGAAGTAAAGCCGTTGGTCCCCGGTTCATGAGTTGATGGGTAGATAGGAGGTAGGGTCCAGATGTGGGAGCTGCCTTCCTGGTGTCGGGAGCATTGGTACTCAGTAGGGAAAACAAGATAGACGTGTAGAAAAGTAATGAGCATGGCATTAAACACAATATTAAATTTAATGTTTAATATCGTGTTTAATGCCATGGTCATTACTTCTCTACACGACGGAAAACAAATCAAAGAAAAATAAATGATTTCTGCAGTGCGGATGCTTCTGAATGCTGGTATGCAACTATGTAACCGATTCTAATAATGTGTATTTTTCTTTCATTTGTAGATTTGCATGAAAGCAATAGTCGGGAAGGCACTCGGCCGTCACCATCGGGACGAGAGAAAGCCTCCGACGTATACCGGAACTACTCGACTCGCGCAGATCTTTCTCTGTCGGCCCAATCAGATCGGGAGGAAGCCACCGACGAAAATTGGAACTACTTGGATACTTCCCGTAGTTTTCATGGTCATGTATTGGGACCATGGGCAAATCTCACTCATCCAGACATTTCCAATAGCCTCACAATCAGCGACCGCAATATCCGTCGTCCTTTTTCGAGAAACAGTAATGGTTAGTTTTTCAGAACTATGTTAACGTTTATGAGTGGGGGTACTTCCGCATAAACCCGAACCATTACTTGATTTTACTACGTAACTATGTAACCGATTCTAATAATGTGTATTTTTCTTTCATTTGTAGATTTGCATGAAAGCAATAGTCGGGAAGGCACTCTGCCGTCACCATCAGGACGAGAGGAAGCCACCGACGAATACCGGAACTACTCGACTGCGGGCCGGACTTTGCACGATTGTGTCCTGGAATCCCGGGCGAATGCCAGTCGCGCAGATCTTTCTCTGTCGGCCCAATCAGATCGGAAGGAAGCTACCGACGAAAATTGGAACTACTTGGATACTTCCCGTAGTTTTCACGGTCATATATTGGGACCATGGGCAAATCTCACTCATCCAGACATTTCCAATAGCCTCACAATCAGCGACCGCAATATCCGTCGTCCTTTTTCGAGAAGCAGTAATGGTTAGTTTTTCAGAACTATGTTAACGTTTATGAGTGGTGGTACTTCCGCATAAACCCGAACCATTACTTGATTTTACCAAAAATGGTCTATAATCCCTAATAAACTATAACTGAAATTGTAATAGAACTTTACATGAACGTTTGTGAGGTAAAGTTTTAAACTTATGGCTTGTTAAAAACCATTACCATTTTCGGTGATGTATCTATATTAGAACCGTTTAAAAAAAGGTATTGAGTATTTTTTACAGTAAATCATCGCCACTGAAACACTATCGCTATCTGGTAAGTACACTGTAATGGGTAGTATGCTCAACAGATGGCGGTATTGTGTAAACGTATACATATCACTTGGTAAACCTACTTTGGATCCAAGTCATATACCAATCGACTCAGCTCGACAAGATGTGTGTGTGTGTAACGAACTTTTTCGAAGACGTGTTTCTTGGCAACCACTGACCCAAATTGGACGCAAAAACTAACAAATGAAAGGTTTCATAGTCCCACCATAGAATGAAATTGAATACACAGACAAACAGACATAACTCATTGAATATTTCTCATTGTAAACCATCGTCGCTAAAACACTACCGCCATCCGTTGAGTATACTGTGATGGACACTACATTGAACAGATTACGGTAATGTGTAAACGTCAAACACAATGGAATTGACTATGCGCGCTTCAGGTGGTGGGACAACCAACTTAAAACATTTAAAATTACTGTAAAATGCGTGTTCGATGATGAACTTACGAGTGTTATGTCTGGTTGTCTGTGGTTTGATTATCAATCAACTGGTTCCGGAGATATGGACGAAACAAGATCTAAAAACACGGATTTGAGCCGCAACAAGTTCATGGTTGTGCCACAGACAAACAGACGTAACACTCGCAAGTTGTTCATCGAACAAGCATTTAACGGAAAATTTGAAAGTATCGTAGTTGGTAGTAACGACACATGTGGCGCGCATAGTAAATTCCCTTGCGTTTGACGTTTACACACTCCCGTCATCTGTTGAGCGTATGGCCCACCACAGTGTACTCAACAGGTGGCGGTAATGTTATTATTATTATTATTATTATTATTTGATATAATTCATCTGACACTTTTTTTTGTCTTAATGAATAACATAATGTAGGGTTCATACAAACATACATATATCATAATATACATATGTTTAAGCGACGATGTTTTACAGTGAGTAATATTCAATGACTTATGTCTGTTTGTCTGTGGTTGTACATCCATGAGACTAAATCTGTCCAGGAACGAATAAAACCTATCATGTGGCACATAGTGTAGCACGTCATAATACATGCGAATTTAAAAACCATACCAATGGAAGCCATTTGGACTGCCACTGGCCACATCCGGACATGTTTCCAGTGGCCAGTTTAATTAAGTAAGCCCACTATGGTTTGAGAACTTTAATGGTAATTGTTATGGTAGTAAGTCAACTTTATGTGAAATATATCGCGAATTGATACCAGCATAAACGCGAACTATAACTTGACCTTACCGACAATAATTAGAAAAAAAATATAATCCCTGCTAAACTTTAACTGAAATGGTTATGGAACTTTACATGAACGTTTGTGTGCTAAAGTTCTAACCTTAAGTATTATGGGTTTTTTGTAAGTGAACCTTACAAATAATGGGTTGTTAAGAACCATTACCATTCAAAATTCTTAACCATTACCATTAAAATTCTCAAACCATAAGTAATAAGTTTCTAATAAAGTTTTCTTTCCGAAAATGTATGGAGAAAACAAGAATTTTGAATGGTATTGGTTCACCTAAGAAAAAATAACCATAAACGAATGGTACCCCAAATGATTGAACTATTCCACAAATGGTTTGGATGATACCCCAAGTCATTAAGTAAATTGAATTGTTTTATTAGGGTCTTAACAAGCCATTATTTGTAAGGTTCTCTTCCAAAAAACCATAATACATAAGGATGAAACCGAAGACAACAAATCAAGAAGACTGGCAACTCTTCTACTTTTTCATACGAACGCTATGAGACAGGTACAATCACGTCATCTACCGCTCAAAGGTAAATGCTTCGAACGAATTTGATAGCAAAGATTACATCCTCAGACGAAGGGTTTGTGTATTTGCTCATTTTCTATGCGTTGCTTCCACTTTCACTCAAGCGCAGCGCTACTGTATCTGTCGCTTGGATTCTGGCAAAGTTGCCAGTCTTCTTGATTTGTTGTCTTCGATAAAACTTTATCTCACAAACGTTCATTTAATGTTCAATAACCATTTCAGTTGAAGTTTAGCATGGATTATAAACAATTTTTAACCTTTTTCGGTAAGGTCAAAATATGGTTCGCGTTTATGCGGGTACCCTTAAATTAATGATAAATAAATATATAAGGTTAAAACTTTATCAAATAAACGTTCCGTTACTATATCAGTTACAGTTTTCCAGGGATTATACACTATTTTTTGACATTTTAGGCAAAGTCAAGTTATAGTTCGCGTTTATGCGAGCTGTGTAACCGATACTTATCAAACAATTTTTCTTTTCTTTTCAGTTTTCAATGAAAGTTACAAATGGGAAGAAGCCCCATCGTTCCAACGCGTTGAAGCATCCACTCCTTTGAGTCATGTTTCGTTTGCTGTCAACCTTTCATGGGATGGAAATTGTTCACCATTAAATTTAGTGATCCCAAAAACGGATACGCCCAGCTTTACACGTCACGAGCGGTCATCAATGGTGCTTGATCTACGAGCTAAAAAAATTGAACCACAAAATGCGTCCCCGGAACCGACAACCGAAAAGAAGAGTGAAAATCACCTATCACTTCCACATCGATTGGTCAAACCGTTGAACTCTATCAAGCGGCATATGGTACCACATGATCACGATAAATATTGTAAAGTGAGGAAGAGTAGTGTTGACATTGATACTGATCAACCTAATCTGATTGAAAATAACTTGGAACTATCTGAACCAGAATCTGACAATGACTACACAGCGGATGACGACTGTGATCCAGAATGGATGCCAGATGGCGACGCTAGTCAGTTGAATGACTTATCGGTTTATGAATATTTTGAGAAATTTAAAAATAATGTCTTATCCGACCATGAATCTGGTGCTTCCTCTGCTGGCGAAGACGAGGTGGATGAAGAGCCTCTGGATAATAAGTCAAAGATGCGAAAGAGGAACCGGATTCTTAAAGAAAAAGGTTCGTCTTATAAAAGGATGGACGGAACTGTTGTCCAAGCCAGGCGGGTACAACCACCATGTGGATGCAAAATGCGGTGCTATGACAAATTTTCTGAATCTGTCCGACAAAATCTGCTATTAAAGCTGCTGACATTAACTCAATCCGGACAGAATCAGTTTTTGTCCAATCACATAGTCGTCATCAATACGGTTCGCCCTAAGGTAATAAATAAATAAAAATTCATCAAATTAATATTGAAACTTTTTCGTTAATTCATGTAGGTTCTAATTTCACGGCGTACTCGATCTCGGATTTATAGGTTACCGGGTGTTGGTGGTCCCGTAAAGGTTTGTAAACTTATGTTTATGGCTACATTTGACCTGAAGGACAGGAAAGTTCGTACTCTCGCCAACAAGCTTGTTTTGGGACAAGGGGTTGCTTCAGATGACATGAGGAAAGGCAATTGTTCTCGAAAACAAATTAGTCCTGAGCACGCCGACTACATCATTAAGCACATCAAGTCATTTCCGGCTGAAGAAAGCCACTACGGTCGCGAGAAATCATCAAGGCTCTACTTATCGTCTGATTTAAATGTCCAGCGTATGTATGAACTGTACCAGGACCAGTGTGGAGTGGATAATTTCATACCAGTTCATTACAATACCTATCGGCGTGCATTTAATACTCAAAATCTTAAGTTTCGAAAACCTAAGATTGATACATGTAACACATGCGACATGCTTAAGGTAGAGTTACAAGTAGAGAAAGACGAAGAAAAGCGGAAGGAAGTAATCGTTCGGAAGGAGGCACATCAACTCGAGGCTCAGCGAATCTACGACGAAAAAAGGGATGACAAGAAGCGGGCGGACCAGGATATGTCGGTGCGAACAATTTCATTCGATCTGCAAAAGCAACTTGCAACACCTTACCTGACATGCGGTCGAGCTTTCTATAGCCGGCAACTGTATACGTACAATCTAACGATATACGAGACTCAGATGGGTGCAAATATTCCAATGTGTTACCTATGGGATGAAACACGTGCCAAACGAGGCTCAAGAGAAATCGGGTCATGTTTGTGGAACTACTTTAAAGGATTACCGGCATGCGTGGAGGAAGTGATTATGTATAGCGATCGATGTTCTGGGCAGAACAATAACCGCACTGTTCTTTTTATTATGGCATACGTTACGGAATTAGCAGCAGCAGATGGTCGAAAGTTGTCAATATATCATAAGTTTATGGTCAGTGGCCATAGTCACATGGAGTGTGACACAGTCCACTCTGCAATTGAGCGGGCCAAAAAGAGAGTACAAGGGAATATTGAAACTCCTCACGATTGGAATTTGTTCATTTCGTCAATCCGACGATCTCCTCCAATCATCGTAAAAGATATGGAGCAGAGTAAGTTTTTCGATTTTTCGGTTCTTGAATCAAGGTATACAGTTCCAAAATGTACAAGTAACAACGAAGCATTCAGGTTTAAGGAAGCTCGAATATTCTGGTGTTCTTCAGAGTTTCCTGGAATGGTGCAATTTAAAAAGGATGTTGGTGACAAAGATTTCCAATGTATAAAACTGTTAACTTCGACGACTGTAATGCTTAAATATATTCAGTTGATACCAATATTAACAAAGCCAATAGTACTTCCCACTGCGAAACTGGAGGATTTACGACGACTTCTACCATTTGTATCACAAAAATGGTACTACGAAGCTTTCTTAAAAAACTTGGCTCCTCCTGGGCGGGGCAGAAAGTCAAAAGTCGCCGATTGCGACAACTTTGATGCTGATTTCGATTTTAAGTAAGTGACTAAACACCTAAATATCTAAAGAGTTGGGAGATACTTTTAGAGAAGAAACATTGTTTTTTGTTGTTGGAGGAGTTAAACTAAAGAAAAATGTTAAACTACTGCATTTAATTGTTTAAACTTTCATTGTTAAAAATAAAGCAAGTCAAAGTAAATTCTTAACTGTTTTTATTTGTTTTAAATCACAGATTTTGAAGAACATAAGTTGGGTCTAGAACACAATTAAACAACACACTACTTTCTTATATCTTTTTATGACAATACCGACCAAGAGCTGTTTCCCTTTCACACATTGGTTCTCATTTTCAGTTGACAGCAGTCTCCGGATATTTAACTCTACTAGGCTTATAGGTTCCACCGGCTCGGGCAAGTGTGAAAAATATCGTCCTTGTTGTCATCCGCTTGGTGTCCAAATCGGATTGGAAATCTTGGTAATAGCTAGAATGGTAGTTGCAGTCCTCGTACAACTCAGCAGTGTCTTCCGTTTTAATTACAATTTGCCAACGAAGAACTTTTCTGATAGTGGCACTCGTGATGTCCTCGATTGGCGGATACAAGTTGCTTCGAATACTGACCTTCATGCGATGAGTTGTTGAATAGCATGGGATTCTTGATTATAAAAGTGCTCTCCGGAGCATCACGTCTCTCATTTTAGTGATCCCCGGCATCTTCCTTAATGTTCACCAATGTTTCTTGTTGTATCTTCAGTCTCGAAGGCTCTTCAGGTGCTTGGACCACCTGCAGAATGTTTCCTGTAGTCAAACACACAGAACCAGACAAGTTACATTGGACGTTGATTGGCACCATTTGCTCAACACAATGTCGCACAATCCTCTAGAAGATTAAGTTCTTCTCCTCCGTAGAGATCTTCCTGGTGGGTGTCCTATGTAGGACACAATCGGTGCTTGGTGACTCACTCGAATCGATGGAACCGCTGTGTTGATATTTTTTCTCCTAAAAGTGATCGTTCATTTAAAATATGTGAAAGGGAAATACTTCGAATGGCAAACCTGTACACGCAATTCTCAAAATCGATAGGTTTGAAATGACGATTCCATATGGCACTCCACTTGGTCTGCATAAAATCGGGGCCCCGACCAGTAAACTGGATCCGTCGCTGAATCTATGAACACAACAGAGATGAAGTAAATTATTTTTTGTCCAGATTGAGTAAACACTTACTTGTGGAGCATACTTCATACGCTTTTCTGGTTCACTCAGATGATATTATCAACCAATCAAACATCAAAATACCTCAAAACTTAGAAAAAACAAACCGTCCAAAGTAACTGTCATTGAAACAAAACGTCCAATGTAACTTGTCCAAAGTACAGCATGACTTGTAAAAAAGTCCCATGTGAGTTTTTCTACGTTATATCACAATTTATTAAATCAAATTGGTTTTTTATCGATTCTATTGAATTTAGATCATTATTATTATCTTACCACGGTAATAAAATGAATGGAAATAGTTATATTTTAAAACAATTCTAAAAACAATCCGCCGATCTTCAACTTAATTTTTCTCAAAATGGAGGAATTGTTACTTCGGACCTTATGAAAAGTGACGCGAGAAATGTGTCAGAACTTCACATGATATATAATGAATACGTATATGATATGTGACGCTCCATTTATGTGCATCATATTGAACAGCAATTTACACTACTTTTTCGAACTGTGTAGATTTTCAGGATACAGTCACTTTGAAGAACTATTAAGAGAATTTTTGATTGGTTTTCCAAAACAACTTTGAGCAGATTTAAGAATAGATTCTAGAGATAAGGTATTTCAGAGAATACTTTCTAGTGAGCTTTAGGAAAATTTTGTAAGAGAATTTTTACTAGAACTCCCACGAGTGATTCCAGGAATCGTGAAAAATACCAAGTGAAGCGAATTTTGAGGGCATACTTCTGCGAAGATCTATTAGGAAATTCCGAGGTTAATTCCAACCATATTTCGAATGGAATTTCTCGAGAATTTTAATGAACATTCCATGCAATTTTCAAATGAATTTAGAGAAGAACTCCAAGATAATTCTGAGTAAGACAATGAAGACAATTCTCTGCGGAAGATTTTCTCCTGCCCGATTGGGTTAGCAGGGAAGGGGGATTACAAGTAAGCGCGTTTTCCCTTTTAAAAAATGTGATAAAAGTCCGAGTTTTCGTCTAATCGTGTTGGTGTCTTTGGTGCACTTATATGATGCAAGCAATGAGTGTTCCGAAGACACCAAAACGATTTACCGGAAGCTTGCACATCGCACTTTCTGCATTTTTGGAGCAGTTCAGTTTCAGATGCAATCAGCAATATCTACTACTATATACCTATACACAGAAACAAAATCCATTGGCAAAAATACTATATTGATGGTTTAAATTAAATACTCCCACCAATAGATTTGTGCAGAAACGAAATTCATTTAATTTGACTAATTTTTCTATCGAAACTACTATACCGTTTGAGTCAGCATAGTAGTTTTGACAGAATGGTAGTAAATTTGATTATATTTATAGTCAACTATACTGAAATCCTGGTAGATTTAACGGTATTAAGCGTAGTTATACTGAAAATAAGTGTTTTCTGCAAAATAGTATTCCTAACTATTATCTTTGTTTCAGTGTAGGACTAGTACTTTTCGACACTGGAAAACTAGGCCATTATGTTATTCAACATTCTTCTTCTCCTTCTTCGCATTGCAAACATATTGCTTATCGCAAATTAGCTTATTGCGTGCTCTCAACTTACTGTTCTAGATACAATCATACTCTATGCCCAGGGAAGTCAAGAAATTTTCCAACCCGAAAAGTTCCTAGACCGGACCGGGAATCGAACCCAGCCACCTCCCGCATGGTCTTGCTTTGTAGCTGTGCCTTTACCGACTGAGATAAGGGAGTAAACAATGTCGAAAAACCAAAAACAAACTTGATTCTTGGGAAATTTTTCAGATGAATAAATAAACAAATACTCACAACACATCATGGCTTCCTTCCTAGCAGCTACAAACACCTGTTTCACATAATCTCCTCCGAGCTGCTGATGACAATTGTTACACATCCATTTGTCTCTGAAATGATTTCTAATTAGCCAGCATATTCATTCCTAAAAATGCACCACGGAAACACCCACTCGTTAGCAAAATACGAGCAAAGTCCACCATCACATCCTGTACAATAGAGCGAGCTCAAATGCGTTCCCAGTTCAGTGGGATCCTCACACCGGCTGCATTTACAGACAAAATATTTCCCCAGCTTCAGATGAGCTCTTCGCTCGAACGTTCCCTGTGAGATAAATAAATATAATTGTTTGTTTATAAAATTCGACGCGTTATGAACGAATGTGGAAAAGCATACAAATAGACTTCTGGTGTAATTGTACTGTAGCATTTCGCCTTTCTTCACCGGAACAGTCGTGTACAGTCTGAGGTTGGCGTTACCGTCCACCGAAATCAGCGTGTTGGATACGCAGTTGTGTGCCATCAATGCCGCCTTCGGATACAGGCCCCGAACCATGTTGTCTATTTGCATTCCTTGGTCGTCCATTTGGCCACGAATTTCAAACGCGTTGACATCGAAAAATCCACAAATCTGCTGTATCAATTCGCCGGTCAAACTGGGATTCTCCATCTTTGCGAACGCTTTGCTCTCCACCAGAGGTTGCACAATTTTCCTCTCATGGGCGTTCCATATGTCCGTGTTTCTTCGCGCGCTCAGGTGTGCTTCCATTCCCATCATCTCGTCGAATTTGGCGCGGTTGGACTGGGCCAGCAGCACACCTCGCACCGGGGTGACGACGTTGAAATGGTCGAAAAGGAAATTGATGTCCAATCCAGAGCTACGATAGAATTCGCACTCGCATTCGTCGTGATCCGTGCAATCGAAGCAAAGTGGGGCTCGTTTGCATTTTCTAATAATAAAAAAATATCTTGCAATTAGCTCAATCACACCACCTCAATTCGATTGTTAATATCGGTAGATATTTCAGAAGAAAATGGTCGAAATTCAATGAGTGACTTTCTGAAACAAAACCCTCAATACATAACTATCAATGCTAAAAAAAAGTAGAATGGGGCAAAAATATGCACTTACCACAGACAAACAGACATAACACTCGCAAGATGTTCATCGAACAAGCATTTATCGGTCAATTTAAAAGTATCTTAGTTGGTAGTACCGGCACCTGTGGCGCGCACAGTCAATTCCCTTGCGTTTGGCGTTTTCACACTACCGCCATCTGTTCAGCGCACTACCCACCACAGTGTACTCAACAGATGGCGGTAATGTTTTAGCGACGATGTTTTACAGCGAGAAATATTGAATGTGTTATGTCTGTTTGTCTGTGCACTTACTGTATCTTTTGACGTAGGACTACGTCTGTGATTTCTATATGGGGGTAAACTTTGTAAAAACCGAAAATATAACATGTAACAAATGAAAGATTTTGAACGTTAATAACTCAGCTGCCCCTGAACCAATTTCAATAATTTTATCACCAATCGATCAGAAATATTTCGACGCATCTTTTGAATTTAAGACTTTAACATTTTTCAAAATGTCACTATTGAAAATTGCACGAATGTGCAACTGTGATAATTAATTTTATCACGGATTGCCTGCAAAAAGTGATTTCCATAACACAGATTTCAAAGTTGAATTCCATCCGATTTCACAAAATGGTGTTTATTCAATCACCGCGTCATGAGTGGTGGTGTTCTCCAGTACACAACAAAAGGCTCCTCGCAAGCAGCTAGCTATCAAGGCTGTCCACAACTGCTGATCGGAATCAGTTCCAATCACCGTGTGTGGTGGTGTCCGGTCATCGGCATCAGCAGCAGCAGCAGCAGCAGCAGCAGCAGCAGCAGCAGCAGTGCTTTCAGCGCGTGGCGTTGAACATTGTTCTTCAGTACACAACAAAAGGCTTTCTGCAAGCAACGAGCTGCAGCCCACATGAGCATCCATAGAAGGAGGAAGAAGCCGCACCGCTATTGATCGGAATCAGTAGCTCTTCGTGAGTTGTTGTGGGCCATCTATGTCAAACGCGTCATACTAAAGAGTATAAACAGAGAGAACCCCGTTCAAATTCCTATTTCTACACAAAACACAAGCTCCTGCTGCAGTTAACAAATAAGATTTATTATATAAGACCACGCAGTTCTACGTCACCATTGCGTGCAACCCCATAGGGCTGTCCCTTGTAATTTTTCATCGTTGCTTGAAACATCTAACGAATTCGTAAGAGAATGTCGAAATAGCTATTCATGCCAACAAGTTACAAAAAGAAGATATTTTCAGCACGAGTCGTAGTTTATCCAATGAGTAAAAAATAAAATCCCATCTAATGTCAAATAATGATTTTTGCACCGAGTATATTCCAAAGGCACCCTGTCCTAAATCTGCCTTTAGTAAACAAATCGAACACATACCCACATATAATTCAAAAGTTAACTTAATTCTTGTCTCTATATGTGAACTTTAGCAACTTTGTCGGAATTTAAATAAGTAAGAACTCACTAGACATACATTCAGGTTTTCAATTTAATGGGCAATCTTGAACGTTTTCTAAAATAACGATGAGAGCTTAAAAGGTTTCATAATCTTCTGGTGGTCATTAGCCTGGCCTAGCTTTCGAATCCTACCAAATCATTGCCACTGCATAAACCCACATCAATCCCGTTACGACCAAACATAGAATTTCGTCCATCCCTGCCACATATCTAAATAGAGCTGGAATTAGGGCGTAACAGCTTTTGTAAACAATGACTTCTCTCGATGATTTCTACAAAATCAAGGCTCGCCCACGCAAATCAACATCATCATCGAGTAGAGGAAGACTTCCTCTACCTGATAGTTGTATTGGATTGCGTGGGCGTGCCTTGAATTTATAGAAATCTTTAAGAGAAGTCATTGTTTACAAAAGTTGTTACGCCCTAATTCCAGCTCTATCTAGATATATACTGTCCCGGGACGAGACTTGACAATCCAGCTTCTCACTCTTCTTAATGTTTTTTTTTTATGAATGATTAGTGTCATTCTATCCTGTCGTCTCTTCGAGCAGATCCCCTTCAACATCAACAGAACCACTTTCGATCAGTTTTCATCCTATTTGTATTGGCTTCATTTCGTCTTTCATTGTCACATGAACTTACTTTCGCATTGAAGCGAAGCTGTTCGATCCAAATTCGCCCACACGGCGAATGAGAACGACCCAAATTTGAGTTTAGTTCACTCATACTCGCAAAAAGTGCAGGAACTCAGCGATGAGTTAATTTGCCTCATGTTTTCCCGAGGGGGACGACTCTATCTACGATGCAAAAAGATTGTGTTTTGCTGTGGCTAGCTACGCGCACGCTGAGTAGATAGAAAGAAGATTGATGACGATTCTGAAGATTTCCTGCAAAAAATTGATGAGCGATGCAAGTAGATGCGACAAATGAAAGAAGATTGTTCGAAGATTGATTCGCTAGTGTAAGATTTGTTGACCATCTAAACTTGAGATTTAGATGTGTCGCCCCCCTCGTGTTTTCCCAGGTTTTTCCAGGATTTTCCAGGGAAAAATTCTCGAATTTGAGAAAAGTAAAGATTGGATTCACTCATTCTATTGGTACTACCTCGAGACTGAATAAAATTTTCGTCAATTTCCTCATTTTCTGGCAGATTTTTAACGTTTTCCACAGGAAACCATGAGACAAATTTTACTCATCGCTGAGTTCCTGCACTTTTGGCGATTATGAGTGAACTAAACTCAAATTTGGGTCGTTCTCATTCGCCGTGCAGTTTTTCTGAGTTTTGTTGATTGTTACCTCGGTTAATTTTATTCGCATGCCCATAGATCTGTGCACGTGGATGTCGAATTTATCATTCTCGGGTGGTTTGTTACCCATCAATGTGGGTATTTTGGGAATCGGGGTGTCTTCTAGAGGCCGCAAGTCGATATCCGACGACATTTTGAAATCCAATTCTACCAAATACCCATACATACTATTTTTTTTTTTAGAATCAGGTGAATATGTCATGTGGTATCAATGTGGGTATTTTCAAAATCTCAGTAACGTCTAGAGACCAGCAACCGAAAACATCTAAAATCTAAGATGGCGGCTTTGGTTCAGGAAAATTGTGAAATACTGTCAAATAGCGATAAATGTGGGTATTTTGACGTAGGACTACGTCTTTGATTTCTATATGGGGGTACACTTTGTGAAAACCGAAAATGGAACATGTAACAAATTAAGAAAGATTTTGAACGTTAATAACTCAGCTGCCCCTGGTCCAATTTCAATAATTTTATCACCAATCGATCAGAAATATGGCTACGCATCGATAACAATGCTTCCGAATGTTGATTTTCAACAAGAAACTTTTGAAAAACTGGTAAATGTCCAGCATTGTCCAAAAGCGTCGAATTAACTAACAAATCCACCAATTACCTACATGCATATGCTGCTTCCCCAGCACAGTCGTCACAGAGTAGTAAGTAGACGAAACAAGTCGAAGTGGCATTCGCCTCTGATCCTCGGGTGCGTGTGAATAAGGAGGATGGAATTGCGTAATATTTTGCACACTCATCGCCATACTCAGAACCACACGCTGCCAACGACCACAGCAGTGCAGTGCTTTCGGCGTGTGGCGTTGAAAATTGTTCTCCAGTAACAACGGAGGCTGCCTGCAAGCAGTAAGCTGCAGAGCCCACATAAGCAACCATCAAAGGAGGAAGAAGCTGCACCGCTATGCTATGGATCGGAATCAGTAGCGCTTCGTGAGTCGCTGTGGGTCGGTCATCTATGCCAAGCGTCACCCTCGCTCCAAACGACATACAGCTCGACAGCCTCATCCGTGTTGAACACCCAGCTCAGAATTACTCAAACATCACTACAAAACGGTCCTTTTCAGGGCCACCAAAAATTTGTTAAAGAGTATTATTTGGACATTGGTCAAGGTCATCAGTTCCCGCAAGCAGCTAGCTATCAAGACTCAACCTGTCTATAGAAGGTGTGGAATTGTAGGCCTGAATATGCTGGTGAGATTAATCATCGTCCGACCATTTTCCAGAAAACGCTGATAGGAAGTGTTAAAAATCCATATAGAATTTGAGAGAAGTGGGAATAATTCGCTTTGGGTGTATAAAGGGTGATACGGTCAAAATTTGGTCAATATCAACTTGACGTATTTCTTTCAATTTTGCATTTAAAAAACCTGAACACCCCTCATTTTGAAGGTGTGTGTGTGTAGAATGTTGCTCCTATTTTGATTTTGGAATTCACTCTTCAGTTGTCAAAATGCCGTCCAAGCAAGAAGAGCAGCGTATCAAAATTTTGCTCGCGCATCGCGAAAATCCGAGCTACTCGCACGCAAAGTTGGCAAAATTGCTAAAAGTTGCCAAATCAACCGTTACAAATGTAATTAAAGTGTTTGGGGAACGTTTGTCGACAGCCAGGAAGTCTGGATCGGGGGGAAATCGAAAACCGGAAGCCGCTGAGACGACAAAGAGAGTTGCCGGTAGTTTCAAGCGAAACCCTAACCTCTCTCTCCGAGATGCCGCAAATAAGCTGGGTGTATCGTCTACAACCGTGCATCGAGCCAAAAAACGAGCCGGACTATCGACTTACAAGAAGGTAGTGACTCCAAATCGCGATGATAAACAAAATACGACGGCCAAAGCGCGATCCCGGAGGCTGTACACGACGATGCTGACGAAGTTTGACTGCGTGGTAATGGACGACGAAACCTACGTCAAAGCCGACTACAAGCAGCTTCCGGGACAGGAGTTTTATACGGCAAAAGGAAGCAGATGTTTTCAAGCACATGAAACTGTCAAAGTTCGCAAAGAAATATCTGGTTTGGCAAGCCATCTGTACCTGTGGCTTGAAAAGCAGCATTTTCATAGCTTCCGGGACTGTCAACCAAGAAATT